ATCTTAGGTTAAAGCAGTAGTTAAGTAATTCGTTATTTACCAAAACAAAACAAAAAAAACCTATACCCTCCCATTCCATTGGTGTAAGTAAAATCTTATAAATATTAATCTTAACTACGTTTTACTTTGCAATAATCTCGTATCCTACCCTCAACAAGCAATAAGTAGAACATTAATATAAATAATATTCTTACATTTTAAAGTTATTTACATGATGCACAAATCAATCTATTTCAGTGACTACAGAATGTTTGTTATTCTTAAAAATCTCATGTTCGAGTATAAGAGACTATACACAAGTATATATTGTCAAAAGAATGAGAATCTTTAGAATAGATAGTATCACTTATAAGCACATTATATTAATAAAAATTATTTACATGATAAAATCAGAATTTAATAAAAATAATATAAATCTGAAAAAAATCATTGAATACTTTGTGGTAATTTTCAATTTCTCATTTTATTATTGTTTTTTTAATAATGAAATAAATTAAGATCCACGTCAGGTTGGGTCCCATCTGAGTAATCAAATATCGTGAATCGTCACCCTTTGACCGGTCTAACACGTGGATGTGGGTGACAGGTGGAGAGTAAATGTAGTACGAAAACACCATTAGGTGGATGTTTAAATTTTAAAGTTATCCACACCGATACCATCTGTCGTCCACCGAATCCATGACGCCACTATATCATTGTTTCATCTGTCATTCAACCTTCCGTTACGTTATCCGACTAATACCATTTATTTATTTCTTATTTCACCCTATACTTTATCCCTTTGACACCTCCAACAATTTATGCTTTCACAACTCCCCCATTAACCCCAAAAATATAAAATACAATATTATTTTATCTGTCGTCCACGAATCCATGACGCCACTATATATCATTGTTTCATCTGTCATTCAACCTTCCGTTACGTTACCGACTAATCCATTTATTTATTTCTTATTTCACCCTATACTTTATCCCTTTGACATCTCCAACAATTTATGCTTTCACAACTCCCCCATTAACCCCAAAAATATAAAATACAATATTATTTTATATCTAATACAATGACGGATCTGAAATATTTTTAAAGGTAAACACATATATATTAATAATATAAAACTTTTAAATAAGATACGTACAAATAAAATTTTAAGGTGTATACCGTTAATAAAATAAATAACTAATCAAAGAAAGTTCAAACTTTAAGGTAAAAATCGTAAATAAAATAAGTAATCAATCGAAAAAATTTAAATTTATGATGTACGTGTGCCCACCCTCATCAAATTGTGACTCTGTAACTGATTTAGTATACATTATGTTATTTATCATTTAATATACTAAGATACATTAATTTATTGACTGATATAACGAGAAGAATTTATGTAATAAAATTCTATTTATAATTTGGACTGTGACGCCATGATAAATTTTGTATTCATGCTGACGTAGACTGTAGCTAGTAAATTGGACCGCCTGTAGTATATAAATTGTGGTACACTATGTTAAAGGAAATTTCATCAATAATCAAGTAATGATGTTTAGATATTTGTATGGTAATTTTGTTTTTTATTTTGACTTGAAGACTTGGACACTGCGCTAAAGTCTCAATTAAAAATGTAATTATGCATTAAATTTCTTTTTCTTGGAACGTCCTCCTTAAATTAAATACCATAAAGGAACAGTATTAAAATACCAATAAGGCACTTTCAGTTTAATTTCAAGGTCATTACTCTTTTCTGCGCTGGTGTCGAAAAAGTCGTGCTCGTGTTTTAGAGGGATTTAATTTATGTTTTAATTTATATATAATCGAATTTAAATATACGTAATTATTTTATCATTTAAATTTGATTTAAAAGTCAATATTATCAAATAAAATATATAAATAATAAGTCTTCGAGTAAATTGATGTCTTGCGTCTTGGTTTTTTACGCTAGACACGATGTATGGATAAAAGGAAATGTCACGTTCAAGTTGGGAACTTTGCAATTTGCTTGGAATCCGTTTACCAGAGCGGTGACGCACGCCAACATCACCCTCGCCCTCCTTGACGTACCAGATTGCGTAACTGGCGTTGATGTTTGAGTCTTCTTCCATTTATATACTCTCATAACAAAAGCATAATCCCCGCTTCCCCCTTTCCAATTCATATATATTATATTCCATGCAAGAAGCAATTCCTTATAAATCACAGATGACTGCCACCGCCGGTGGCCGTTCGCGGCTTCGGAATTTTCTTGAAGGCGCTGGTAATGGCGGGGGTCGTCGACTCGTTACCAACGGTAACGTAACGGAATTGGTTGTGGAGAATGCGGTGATAGTTTTCGGTAGACGAGGCTGCATGCCATGTGGTGAACAGGCTGCTACTAGGCTTGGGGTGAATCCGGCGGTCTGCGAGTCGACGAAGGGAAGGAAGAGCCGGCTCAATGAACTGTCGGTAATCACGGTGGGGTTCAGTTCCCGGTTGTATTCGTGGGAGGGAAGTTGTTTGGTGGTTTGGATAGGGTCATGTCCACGCATATTACAGGTGAATTGGTCCCTATTCTGAAAGAAGCCGGTGCTTTGTGGGTATGAGAAGAACTTGTGAATCCGTGATTGTACTACTGTTTCTTCTGGTTTTTCTGTTTTCTTTCGTTGTAGAAATGCTGCAATTTTAACTTCCGTTCTAGAAATATTTTTGGGGTTTTTCATTTTTGTTTGGAGATGAAGGCTTAAGGCTTATGGATATGGATTTCCATAAGGGAATTAAACCAGAAGTAGCAAAGTCTTTCAAGATTAGAGTTGTTTGATTTGTAAAATATTTAACCAAAAATCGAATAAAACCAAGCAATCAACCACCATAGTTTTCACCGAATTATGCAAAACAAGTTGTGTCAATTGGACCTGATGCAGAATCAGATGTGGCCTATGTATCTGTATTGCAGATTCTACTGTGTGTCTCTTTTTGTTTGTTTTGTGCAGACTGTTTTTGTGATGATTTAACAATAATAATATTAATAGAATTAGATTGATATTAACAATTAGTACATTTGATTAAGGCTTCATGAGGACGTAGGGGTGGGTGCAGTGAACAAATTAATTGATTTCATATCCACCGCATCACTTGGATTTGGTTTGGTGGGCTTATTCAAAGGATAGACTGTTCTGCATGTGAATTATGGGATACTATTATCCATCCAACAGGCCACCAGTCACACACGTACAGTTGCTAAGCAACAAAGTGGAGATGGTATAGGTGAAAATCTAGAGGCCTCTCTTTGTGATCGAATCTCCTACACAGATATTCCTGAGATTAACAAATCTCATCCCCCGAACCCCACGACAATAAAGAAATAGTCCCACACAGTAATTAATATGATGGTTAAGCAATAAACTGCACGAGTTATGTTTAAAACCTTTGTATCTGCTGCAATTATGTGTTTGTAACTAACTTGGCCACTAATAAAGATGCAAAGTCAACTATTAACCGCCTTTATGTTAGGTAAACCATTTCTATACTTTACAAACTTCCTATGCTCATTCACTCTCTCAATTTCAACTTTGTTATATTGTTGGGAAAAATTTAATCAGTTTTGGGATTTCAATCCTCATTTGCGGTGGACTGGAGTCTGGACTCACAATGAATGATTCAAGCCCGTTTTTTCATATCTTCTTCCACTACTAAGACACTCCGTTGGAATATTACCTTACGTACTGAGGGTCTGTTTAATAATGCTTTTTAAAAGCATTTTTACTTAAAAAAATTATTTTGATTGAAAAAATCAATATTAAATAAGTAAAAAAAAATGTGATAGAAACGGTGGTCTCAAATTAACCGCAAAAGCTAAGATTTTTATGAACATTTTATCGTTTCAAACTAATTTTTTAACAATAATCTCAAAAAGTTAAATTTAAACCATACTTTTAAAATTTATTTTTTATATCACTTTTAAAAGTCACTATTTAAAATATTACTAAACTTCCCCTACATGTGTTCTTACAATTCCGATTAAAGAGTTTGTGTGTAGATGGAGAAACCTCTAATTCTGGTATGAATATTTCTACTATAAATATATTTGTTTTATTTATATCATGTTTGAGTTTGATAAAAAAATTATAATCATTTGAATAAGTTCAGAAAATTATAATAGAAAAAAATGAAAGAATAAGAAATCCATGACAAACATTATTATTACGCCTCATTTGATTATTCAATAAAAAATCATGAATTCTAAAAAATTTACAAAAGTTTCTTTGGTTGTTGTTTCAACGAAATTGGTGGGATCAAATTTGAAATCGATTATGAAAATGCTTTGCATGTTGTTTAAGAATTCAGGTTACTAAATAAATAAATTGAACGCTATTTTTAACTGATTATTATTTTAAGATCATCAATGATTTGGCCAAGAAAATAATTTTAGTGCTCCAATAGCTCTTTATTTATTATCGATTTTTCATTTATGAGTGTGACATTTGTATTAAGCAGGATGATATTTTTTTTAAACAATTTCTATATAGGGTAGGAGAAGAAGAATTTTATTCTTAATGGATATTGAACTCACGATCTAGATAAAGGGGAGGTGTAAACTAAAGCTTTTAATCATATACTCTAAAAATTGTTGACAGCAAAAGATAATATTTAACATAACAACTTAGTTGAAAGATTCAGATTACATTGATAGAAAAGGATGCACGATAGAATAAAAAGGTTATACATATGATAATTGACAAATCTAACTAACACTATAGGGACTATTAGTAGAAGTTTTTATAGGAGTCATCTTTGTGCAGTCCTACTATATACATATAAATGTCATCAAAGATTATAATAACGGATAAAGAAAGGTAAAAAAAGTAGAAAATATTTTTTATAATGTGAGATAGCTGCTCCCTAGTTTTAGTGGTTTGCGATGAAGAGCGTGGTGTTATCATGGGCAAATATTCCATCCGACTCTTTAATCTTTAAGAAAAGAAGACGTTCATTCACCTTATTCTTCCATGCATGTTTGCTAGCTCCTTTCCTCGGCAAAAATCACAATCTGATAATTATTTGACTATTACATAGCAACAACCAAATAAGTCCTTGTCGTGGCTGCTCATCTTTCCCATTGCTATTTTCTTTCAAGTCTCCCTTTGCTTATATCAGAGGCTAATCGAATAAACGAGGATCCATCACCTTGAACAAGCAGATTTGGGATTAGCTGTGGTGGGCTTTCTCTATTATGGAGGTGACTCCCGCCATCACCGTATGAAACAAAAGACTGGCTGTTATATTGGAGGAGAGCCGCGCTGCTACTACTCTTGGGCGCCATAATTGGACTTTGATGCCGGCTTCTAGCCTTTCTATCGAGCGTGTACTTATTACTACTGCTACTTGGACCGCATTGTCTAGGTTGAGTTTGGTAAAAGACTTTTGAAACCACTAACTCTCCGTCTTTCTCTTCTTCGTTGTTGCCGAGGTGATACTGATGCATTACCCAGTTTGTTTTCTCGGGCTTCCTTTGCCTCCCGTAGTTGGTGTAGAGCACCAAGATCTTTTTGAAACCCTTCACCGTCCCACCAACTGAAACTGCTCGGGTCTTGCCCGTTTTATGCCACCTTGTTTCGCTCCCATCTTCGTCCGTGTGAACTTTTCTTCTCTTCCTTGTCCCGGTCGTGTATGCCTTGGAGGGTCGATGAAAAAAGTGTCGAATTTGGCCATCTTTGCTCACTCCTGCACCATTAGCTCCATTCAGATCAGTGATGAAGAGCAATGCCTAAATTTTAGGATTAAGCTAGCATGGAGGATATCTAACCCTAATCACATGTTTGGTGATCAAAGTAGAACCAAAGGATCGCACGTAATTAGGCCGCCCAAGCAACATGCTTGTCAGCTAGCATTAGCCAACATAGGTACTTTCCTTGCAATACACTTAACTGGATTCTCAAAAATGCATTAAGACTTTACTATTTCGTCTAAATTTCATCTATCCCAACATAGATTATTGCTGGAATGCTGGTGCCCAAACCAAATATATGCATGCATAAATTGGTAGATACATAGATATGGAGAGATCGATGGATGATTGATATATATAGCCCTAAATCCAAAAGTAGAAAATTCAACACAAAAATGAAAAGGTAACGTATTTAAAGAGAAACTTTGAGCTAAAAATTAAAGAATCAAAGAACCTGGGAGCTTCTCCGGATGAGTATAGCAAATCCCATTTTCTCCTCCCAGCGTTGGGATGAACTCATCAAGCAAGGGATGAAGCTTGCGCAGATCAGATATTATTTTGGCCTCTAAATGCTCTAAAATTTCTTGGTCAGTTGGATCAAACTTCACCCCGGCTGGTAACCCTAGCAAATCATGAATTTCCGTCTGACTCTGACACAACAGAAGATGATAATATTTAATTAGTAGATCAAACCACATGGGAGCAAAACTATACATATTATGATAAAAACATGTACCTGATCTTGGTAGGGTATGATATAGTTGCATGAAGGGCAAATAATGGCTGGGATTTCATGGATTTTGGGGTAGGGAACGGCAGAGGTTGAGGCGACGGCGACTGATGGTTCTTCGGCGACGGCTGCTGTAATTATGTTTAGAGCGCTCGTGTCTTCGTCTGGGTCATTGCACCATGACATCTCTCCGGTTCTTCTTCTGATAGTCTTACTCCCATCACAAAGCTGATGTCTGGTTCCACCGTTCGAACACCCACATTCGAAAATTCTAGCAAAATTTAACATAAAACAAAACATAAAACCAACAAATTTAAAATAAACAAGTAAAGCAAAAATTCTCTTTTAGATCACGTTTCAGTTACCCGCTTTCTCTTTCTTGATATACTGGGCAAAGGAATTTAATTCTTCCACGCTTTTTTTAATTCCCTTTCTCAAATTTGCTGCTTATGATTGTAGCTGCGGTCTGCTATAGCCTCCTAGGTCTCGGAAGAAGAAGAAGAAAAGACAGAGAAATGAGTTTAAAGGAGAGAATGAGATTTTATTCATTTTAATCCTTTTCTTCAGAAAAATAATATAATAAATGTTGCTTGCACGCTAAGTTTGGTTATGATAATGTAGATACGACTGTATAACAGATAAATTAGTCGTGGACCTTGCTTTCCGGCTAGCTGTAAACATTAAAAATATTTTAATTACTTAAACAATAGTTTAATTTTAAGCTTGGGATTAAAATCTTAATATTTTTACACAAAAAGAAATGATGATAAGGATGGAGAAGAGACAAGCTATGGGTATTTTTCCCAAGACATTTTACCTCATGAGAAAGCTCTTTAATTAGCTACAATGTCAAAGTGGAGTACTGTTGAAGCTACCAGACAACAAATAAATAAGAGGTGAAGTTATACAATACCGTAGCATACAAAATACGAAACAACAACAAAAATATTGGTGTTTTGCATTGCACCAAACTTGCGTAGCTACCGTTTCTCCATTTCTTCACGTAAACTCCTTATGTCTTAAGCAACCCATCCCTTCTCTCTTTCTAGGGTTTATTTTATCTTTTATTTAGTTTCGCAGATATTAATAATTATGAATAAGTTTAAATACGGATTAATGGTTTTGAAAATTCCCCTCCTAGCCTTAATTGAAAAATATTAATGTGATGTAAAGATTCTTAAATATATTTCTCATGGCCCGCTCCAACCTTTCAACTTGGTGATAATATATATATATATATATATATATATATATATTAATTACTCTCATTTATTTCGGAATTATGTAATTAATGTATGAAATGAAATGGAAAAATAGTATTTAATTACATAGAAAGAAAACTCGTAAAGGTCAATTACGAAGAAAGTATTTAATTAGTTATATTATTTTAATAAAATTTTATAAGCTATTGACGATATTATGCATTTATATTTTCTTATATAAAATTGGCTATTTTATGATTTATTTTAATATATTTATATTCTAATTTTTTTTATATGATTGTAGTATAAGTATTCAATAAAGACGACCAATACTGATGATTAGCTAACGTTTATAAAAACTGAAAGTATTATATACATAAATATATCCACAGATCAGAGGGTTGAATTTATTTTTTGATCAACGACTGAGAGAAAAAGAAAACCGGAAGAAAACTAAGACGACACCGGGAAATCACAATTCTTCACGTAAATATTAACTTGTATTAAAGCCCACATCAGCAACACTTACTTTATTAATTAATTTTATTATATTCTAATGAGATATCAAAATATAATTTAATATCTACACCAAATACAAAAATTGAGCTTATTTCATATCTCTGAACTGTCGGTTAGCTTATGTGAGAAGTCAGACAAACTTGTTCATCACGCTCTCAACTTTACAGTATGGCTTAGGGTTTTTTATTTAAAGACTTTGTAAGGATATAGTAGCCCTCCACACAAATGATTGTCCCCTTTGGCCGCATGTATCTGTCTCTTTTAAATTTCTTCATGCAAAAAGAAAGAAAAATCCAGTGAGAATGATTCATATTAGCAACCCAATTAAGTTACACGACGTCATTTTCAAGCATTTGGTTCCCACTCGGGGGTCAGGACTTACTCCTTTTCTTCAATGGGAATCAACGACTTCTTTGCAACTTCTCACTTTCTCACACCAAATTATTTTTGAAACCATCACCTACCCCAATGATCTCTTCAAGGTTAACAGAAATACTACCATCAATTTCTAATTTTAATTGTTTTTTAATAATCTAAAGTGATTAAAATGTAATATATGTTTAGAATTTTCTTAACCAATTAACAACGCATATATTTTTACAAACGCAACTGCTCAAACTTAAAATCTCTATAAAAAACAACATTTTCTTTCAAAATTGATACCGAATGTTAAACAAGAACGCTTTGAAATAAGCACACATGTTCGATATAAAATCATGGTAAACGATTATGATGATTTCACCCGGTCAATCCTTAGTTATAAGACCACTTCAATACATATATGTATGTATGGATGTATGTGCGTGTGTGTTTCTACACATTTTGATTATCAATCGGGTTTAGAAATGATCTTCAAGAAAAGGAAAATGGCTTCATATGTTTTTAGGTTTTTGCAAGACGAAAATGAGTTAGAAAGTTTATATTATAGAATCTTTGTAAGAATGTGTATTCGGGGTTCCATTTTATATCAATTATAATTTTTTTTTAAAAATAACCAGGATATTTCATTTATCGAAAGTTGTTTCAACAAATGTCTTGGCAAGTTCAAACTGGATAAATACACTCATGACTATCGAAAATAAAATATAACAATAATCGGTTAGAGATAGTCTGATAAACAAAATTATTAACAAGTGAAGCAACGACATATATAAATTGAACACACCAACGGTTTCGAGCGCCAAACACGGAAGAGATAAACTTAAAGAATAACCAAAATGACCAACGGAAAAAACAATGTCCCCTTAACAACAGTCTCATCTGGCATACATATGTGATAACCAACCACGATGTACATAAATGAATTGTCATGTACAAACAAACAGAGAAACAATTTTTTAATATTAAAAAAATATGTCAGGTGACATTTTTAATGTGTTAATGGCCAAACTAACGGAATGAAACGTTAGGAACTAAACTGGAACGAAATAAACGTTAGACACTAAACTATATAAAAAAGAGCATAGGTTAGACACCTTTTGTATACTTGGGCCATTTTAAAATGATAAAATCTGTAACTTGATACTTCTAGAACTGTAAAATTAAAAATGAATACAAACCGGTCTTTCAATATATAATACAATTGAATTCCATCGTTTTTAAAATGATAAAATCTATCATTTGATATTTTAAAAATATAACATTAAAAGTGAATGCAAACATATCTTTTAAAAATGTATTTTAAATGTACGAACTAAATTACTTATGCAATTGAAAGAATGATGGTTATTCTTAGAGGTCTTAGATTTGAGCATCAATGCCGGCAGTAGGGATGATTGAGCGTTTATTAAACGGTTGAAAGTATTTAGAAAGTATATTATTTTATAATCACTTTAACTTAGTAAAAAAGTATTTTAAATTGAATTAATACACGATATAATTGAATTTCATCGTTTTTTGTATAACCATCGATAGTCGATATATTGATCAACTAATCCGAATCGGATACTGCAGAGACAAGGACAACCCTCCCATTCCAGTTTGCTCCATTCACAATCGTCAGGATTCGAACTCTGACCTTATTTAAAGGATCTAATATCTCATCCCACTAGACCAATTGATTGGTAAATTTTATCTTTCTTTTAATGATAAAATCTGTAATTTGATATTTTTAAAAAAATATAAAAGTAAAAGTAAATACAATCGTGTCTTGTTTTATTATATTGATATTGACCAGTCAAAGTATTATGAAAGTGAATTTTAGATTTTTTTAGGAAATGAGAATGTGTTTTACACTTCTCATGTTCTACGACGTAGGAACTGAAAAAATAATGCCATATTTGAAGACAACTAAGAATCAAATTTTTTTCTCTCTTAATCACTGAGATAGGTTGGCTCGAGCACTTGAATTTTTTTTCTCTTTTAAAGATGGATGAAACACATAAAAAATATATATATATATATATTTATATATAAAAGATAGGATGACTTTAATATAAAGTATACTTTGTTGGCTTAATAACAAATTTTGGAAGTAAGGGCTATGATAATACCGCAATCGGCAAGTATATTACTTGGGTTAAGCCTCCAATGGGCCTTAGAATACCCAAAATCACTCGTCCGCACAACTGTATCTCGGCCCGTAGCTGCCAAAGAAATTACGACTACCATTTATAATTTCTTCTTCAATAACTTTTATATAATATATTCTTCCAATGGGACAATACATACTCTTAAAGTATTTCATAATTACAAAAAATTGAATACAAATACATAATATTTTTTAATAAAATCTGTGGAACAAAATATCACCATATATACATAGAAAGGTTTACACCTTTCGTATATACAGACCTGTTCCAATCTAATAACGAAGCACTATCGGAGTTTCATGCAAATAGAAATCCAAATTCACTGTATCCAGAAACTCCATCAAAATGATTCTCTCACCAGCTGCTTGTGACAACCCTAGTATGATGTGAGGATGCTGCTGCCTGAGCTAAAGGAAGTGTTTAATTATGGAATCCAGCATTTCTAAGAACAACACAAACGGATTCTACTTCCTCATTTGTATGGTTAAACCCGTCCGTCACTGCATCTATGTCCGTTAACTGATAAGCGCTAGCACAATACCTGACGGGGAGCACTTCCTGTTTTTCATCGGGCTGTTTTGGTTTCTTTCTGCAAATGATGATGAGCAGGAGGGCGATTCCCAGAGTGAAAAGGGAGACGGAGAGAAGAAGCAGAACCTAATAATCATAAGCTATCTCCTTCTCGCCTTGGGTCATCTTTTCGCCTGAGCTTAGAATCGAATGGAGAAAGAAGATGAGGGTTTCGATTCCGCTACTTGTCTAGTCCATTCCATAAACCAACTTGTCGAAAAGGCTTACTTGCATTGTATGGGTTTGAACACACCCACATAAGTTCTTAACTGGCGGCTTGCTTTGAGATACAGTCGTTATTGGTAATGGACTACTGCCGACAGCCCAAAACAAAGAAAAGTAAACCAACTTCCTTAAAAAAAAAGAAAAGAATTTGCTTAGTACCAGTTGTCCAAGTCCAAGACTGTGTAGAAAAGGGACCATAAAAATAAAATAGAAAGAAAAAGGAAGAGAGTTTAGTTTTGCACAGATATTGATTTCAGACTTAACTATGGTCCCCCTTCCTGGATAGGCAGAGTCCAATGCAAAAAATTCGCTTTCAATGCGTTTCAGCAGTGTTAGATAGATGGCATTTTCACACCGCACATGTGCACTGAACTGACAATTGCTTTTTACCATTTTGCTAAATATCAACAAAACAACAACGAATCTGCTACATAGACAACATCTTGGATAGATGATTAA